CATACCTGAGAATGTGAAGGTGAAGCATGTTTTTTTGTGTTCAATATCTGTAAAACTGCTTGAACAAAACACACATATAAACTGGAAATCCAGAATCACTTTACCTCTCTGTTGTAACGTGCTCATGAATATTTATCACATCCTAATAAACTAACGCGTTTCCAACTCTGCCCCTGTGATTGATCTCCTCTGACTGTATCAGCTCTGTTAGTCACGCTTTCTTGGCTGGTCCTCATGAATACTGAGTCCTCTGGTGTTCGAATGTGTTCTCCATGTTTTACCACATCTGTCCTGTCTTAAAAAAAAAAAAAAACAGGCACAAAATTTATACACTAAAATCTACAAATGTTGGTCATTCATTTTATGCAAAGCCTGCACTTTGTTTAATCACATTCCTATCATTTACATAAACTGACTTTCATGTATTTTCGTTGAGTAGCTTCCAAGCAGGCTTTCTTTCAACTTTTTTGTTATCTGGGGTGGCAGAAGCTTAATTATTCCTTTACAAACTTATTTAGTGCAAATTATCAAAAATGTTATTGATGTTTAAGCTATTTTTAATACCATGTATTGTACTGAATCTTGCATCTTGACTCTTGAATCGTGTTTCCTACATGAGCATGTTTTCTATAGGTATTAGGGTTTATCCCCATTGGCCAAAATACATGCAAATCACAGTATTTGGCTAATCTAAATGATAAAATTATTAAATTAAATTCCGGTGTGTGAGTGAGAGTGTGAATGGTTGTTTGCCTTGTTTGTCTCTGCAGGCTTGTGAAAGACTTCCATCCTGTAGGATGCATGCCACCTCTCACACAATACGTTCTGGAGAAAGATCCCAGCTCCCCGTTTGACCCCAGAATAATAAAAAAATGGATAAAGAAAATTAATAAACAGATGATTTTCACTGAATGCATGGTTACTCTTTTGCAGCTTGTACAATGCAGGTAATACAAACAGAAAATCATTCATGCACACTTAAGGCTAATTTGAGACTCCCCTGTTAATACATGCATGTACCTGTAATGTGAAAGAAATCTGGAGTACCCCTGGAAATCCCACACATGCACAGGTAGAATATGCAAATTCTTCACAGAAAGGCCCCTACCAAGTTTTAAATCTGTAACATGTTGGCACCACTATGGCACCCCAGTTATTTTTCTATACTTGCATGTACAGTATATATTGCAAGCTAGGGGTGTAACGGTACTTAAAATCACATTTCGGTTCAGTTCACTTTCAAAGAGGGCTTGGTTCAGTTAATTTTTGGTACAAAAAATGCCAAAATAAAACTTACAAAATGTTTATTTTGAAAATATGCCAAGTAAACAAGTTCAGTCATTACAGACTTCTTAGCAGGAGGTGATCTGGTGGATGAAGAAGACTCAGCTGCTGTCATCCTCAGACTGCAAACAGCACAGAAAAAAAAAGAGTTAATAAGATTATAATTTAAAATTTAAAAAGTTAATTAAATCACAATAATACAATAACAATACCTACTTTTGTACATCATCATTTCTGACATGAGGTTGTTGAATATCCTCTCTCGCTCATCATCATGTGGCAGGGCTTTAAATCTGGGCTCCAGGGCTTGTTGGTGATTTTTTAGCTTTTTCATAAAGTGCTGCTACAACTTTTTGGCTGAAGTGTTGACGTGATGGGATGTCGTAGGCAGCGGGGCTCAAGAACTTTAATTATATGCTTAAAGCCGGCGCATCAACAACAGAAACGTAGATCCAGAGCTTTAAAAACTCCTACAGCTTGTGTTATTGCTTTGGACAGATCTGAATTACCTGATAACGGTTGTTTAAATGCTGCTGGTATTAGTCTTTGAACCAAGCTACTTTTCTTGCTTGTAGAAGAGACATTCGGATGATGTCATTTCAAGAGCGTTAACAAGTTAGACGTGTTATACTGAACTAGATAAAAAGGACCTTCTCCTACTCTGCTCCTGTTTCCTGGAACATCTTGCAAAAAGACCTGAAGCTCTCGACCTTGACCTCTCTAAGTGGCTTCAAACATCTGCAAAGTTCATGGAAAACAACAATGCAGACATGTTCCTGTTTTTAGTTTTCTACATCGCTGACTACTGTTGTCATTACTCTTTGTTAAAATCAGGTCTCTCTTGTAGATGAGTCCCCCAAGGCTCAATGGGATTAATCTGTATAAATAAAGGTTGAATGAATGAATTAACTCACCAATTTTCACGTCGGGGCAACCCAGGGTTCTGTGTTTTGCCTAAAGACACTTTAGACATGCAGTCATGGAATTCTGCTTTCTGATTGACAGATGACAGCTGCCTACTTCTGTCATATGATAACTTTGTAAAAAACTGTTAAAAAGGGGTTTCCTTCCTCAAATCCCTTTACAAGATATTGATTCCCCTTCAAACAGGATGATGACCCTTCTATGTTTTCTACAACCTACATAACCTTTTAGAACATGGAGGAAATATGGCAAACTTGGAAAACCTGTTTCAGCGTGTTAGCAGTCATGATGCTGTCATGCTCTTAGTACCAGTTGACAAATAGGTTTTTCCCTGTTTTCTGTGTCTGTGAGACACAAAAAATATCGGAGCTGTGTCTTCTGTGAGGAAACTACACTTTATGTACCTGCTCAGGCAAGCTACTGGTCATGCCTTGCAAGTGCAATAGTGTCATGGATGCAATGACTGTATAATATGCACATGAAGACATAACCAATACTTTGCAAGGGAGCTTTATGTTAATCTAGGAGACAAACCTCTGGGAAAAGTATTCAGGATTCACATGTAGGTGTACATAAATCACCAATATTTTTTATTTACAGTAGATAGAGACCTTAGCTTTCACCAGGCCCATGTAGATGTTTAGAAAGTATAAAAGTAACTATAATAAAAAGCTAGAACATGGTCTTTGTGTACTTATAAAAAGTGATGTTTTGTAGCTTCTGTCCTTTTGAATTTTTGGTAAATACGTGTTGTAGCCTTGTGGAGTGGATTTTTCTGCCATTCAGTGGCAACAACTGAAGAGCTTTGTAACAATGATTGTTTGATTTAAGTCTGCAGATAACTTTTTATTTTGCTGAATGACAGGTAATTGTTGTTTTTGCACTTCATTTCTGAATCTCGGGGGACCTAAAATTACAGCTTTGCATTGGCTTTTTTTTTTATTCATAAACATGAACTTGACATTCACAGAATAGACCAAATGTAATTTATTTTTCTTCTTTCTTTTTTTTATTTTTGGGGGAGCTCAAGTAATAATCACTATGATAGAACTGTCAAGTGTCAGAGTGTTCCAATCACTTTTTTTTAATTGGACTGGACAGATACATTAATACAGTGTTACAAACACTCCAAAAACTGTGAAAGTGCCTTGAAGGTCTTTACCTCTAATTTAGTTGTACTACCAGAGAGAGGGGAACAACTTACACTTTGAAGGGAACTTTTGGTTTATCAATTGGATGACTTAGAAAACATGAGTTTATATATATAGATAAATTTATATATATATATAAATAAATATATATATATATATATATATATATATATATGTAGGTTTTAACACATGCAAAATACACCCATCCAAAGACAATCAATCATCATGTACAACAATTAAATGTTTTAGGCCAACTTGCTACTCACAGAAACAGTCTGAGGACCACCAAGGCCAAAGTGGTTCAGAAAACGTTGTAAGCTCAATCATCCATGTAGATAATAATAATAATAATAAAAGTTAAATAGTGTCATCAGGACCAGTTTCTTTAAGTGAGAAATGTTTTTCCCCCCATCCAGAGGACTTCCTCAGTCTACGGCCTGCCAACCAGATCTGTCCCATAGGTAGCATGTGTTTTGCACGTGTAAAAATACTACTTTTGAGATTCCAACAGGAGGTTGGCTTAAAACACAGCAGTGAAGGCTACTTATAGGACAGATCTGATTAGCAGGCTGTAGACTGAATAAGTCCTCTGGATGGGGAACAAAACGTTTCTCACTTAAAGAAACTGGTAAAAATGACACAATATAACCTTTTTGTTATGCCACTTTGTTTACATTTAGCTACAAGTCTTTTTGCTTTTTTTTTAATGACATACAGAAACAAAGGACTGTAACTGGGTTGCAATAAATTTGGGAAAACATTGCCATTCTGAAAGGATTCATGATGGGCGACACGCTTAAGGTCCTTCACTAAATAATGTTCTGGACAACTGATGCCAACGTGTGAAAATTTTGTCCAATGTGCATGCATACGCTGAAGATGGAGTAAAAAACATCAACTGGCAGCCTCTTGGATGTATATATACCATACTGCTAACAAGTGGAACACATCTATAACCTATGCTTAACATATAAGTAACTTATCCATAACTTGTCTCTATCAGATAACTTATACAAGCACGTGACAGCATTTTTGTGGAGCTCCTCCACAACTCCACACTCATCCTCGGTCTCTCCCACACCTAGCACCTCATCCCCATGGAACCTGGGACTAAATCTGTGAGGCACATATATATTACAAAATGTTGTGGAAATGTCTGATATAAGTTACAGATACATTTTCAATTTTTTTCCCCAAGTCATCAATTTGGATTATGTGCAGGTCTATATCAAATTTCAAAACATACATATTTAAATCAAATATTGCTGTTAAATAAATCACAAAGGTGGACTGAGTCCACATCGTGAAGCTTGTTCGGTCTTGGTCTTGGATAAAGATTTCATCTGGCAGCACAGTTGTGATAACAGATTAAATATGGGCTGGTGCTTTTGAAGCTGCAGGGTTTGAATGATGAAAGAAACAAAAGAATAAGTAGTGAGGGATATTAAGAAAAACAAAAGCTCAAAAGCTCAAGGTGGATGAGATTTTCCAGTGAAATGTTCATGCTGTGAGATACTGAATTTGTTTATTTATGCGTGCATGCCAATGCTAAATTATTGATCAGTGAACTCAATTGAAGATTTATTATCTTCTTCAGTTTGTGAAAACTAAATGCAGTCTTTTATATTTTTGTTTTTGCAGTGAATAAACACAAGCCCTGGATAGAGACATCGTACCACGGGGTGATCACAGAAAATACCGACGTTGTTCTGCTGGACCCTCCTCTGGTTGCACTGGATAAAGATGCCCCCATCCCCTATGCAGGTATGGAACATCTCAACCTTAACAACTGTCAAGATGAGCAGGATCAAAGCCTGGGGTAAATGTGGACTACACTGTGTCAAATGGAGGCAGTCAACAATGACTCAGGAGTTAATCCACAGGAAAGCAAAGCTGCAGGATGTACTTACACTTGAGATATAAACCGTATAAAGCTGTCATGTGGTATCACGGTAAATGAGCTTGAATGGATTCACTATTTCCTCTGCATCCCCGTCTTACATTTATACTTTGAACTCGACACTTTGCTGTGTCCGTTTAATCTAATAATTCCCAGGGAGCATACATCATATACGGGATTTCTATTTGCTCACGGTGGAGAGTAGCCTAAATAAGCCCCGTGGTGGTTGAGGACGCAGCAGGAGGAACTTGTATAACTGGATTAGATTCTTCTTACTTTGTGACCATTCCAGCTCAGCTGAAGGGTGCCAACACTTGTGGGAGGACGTTCGCTGGAGGCTGTCGGCCAGCCCAGCCATCTCTTCTCTTGCCAGGCTGCTAATGTGGCCAAGGCTGTAACAGGGGGTTGAAGCCCACTCACAGAGACCCTCAAGCTGAGCTCGATGGTTGGAGAGGTGGAGTATGTGTGTGTGGGCACATTTGGATGTGTATGCTTGAAATTCTTCTTTTTTTTTCATTGTTTGCCATTTTATGTGTGATCCTATGCTGTGATGTGGCCAGAGGGGCTCACTGTAATGGCCCCCCTGCAGGGAGAAAGAGAAAAAATGATGAGGCAGTTGGGAGGGGAGCTGGATGACCAGCATATGCCCTCTGGCTCTCAACAGACTGATGGTCACACATGGAGAATGCACGTGCAGAAAAAACGATCTGGGTTGTGTGAGCAACTCAAAAGTGAGAGCACTGAATAATTAATACACAAGAAGAGCTGCATCACCTGCCTCTTGTCACCCTCTCCCTCTTATTATTTCCAGCCATCTCAATTAGTTCTCCGTATCTTGTTTTTCTCGCAGCAGACCTTCCCCTCATCTTCCACCTCCATCCTTGTTTAAATTTGAGCAGCGCCAACAAACCACCTCCCCACTGCAGCAGCCTCCTAATTATCTTTACTCAGTACACGTAAAATCTGATGAGCGCAGTTCGTCTGCTGTTGTCTAAAGTGAGCCTGTTCTTTATCAGATTTCAGGGGTGGAATGGCTGGACGCTGAACAGGTAGTGGCCGAGCCTCACACTTTCATTAGATCAGGTGGATTTTAATTACACCTAACCTCAGAATGTGACATTACATGAATGACTGACAGCTTTTGTGATGCAAGGGACTGTGAAAGGAACTTTTATTATATTTACCTCTATGGATTGTATGTATGTTATCCTGTGTTCTTTTCTATGTGTTGTTGTAAAACACTGGTTGGCCTTGCTGCTGTTTTTAAGTGCTTTATAATGAAATTGGTATGTATGGTAACCGTGATGCAGTCATAACTTCACAACACCACCAGTGTTAGCTCATTAAAGCTGAACACATTTAGAATGTCTGAAACTATAGAAATTATACAGCAGGTTACAATCTATTCACCCCTCAATGTTTTATTTTTATCTTTTTATTCTGTTGCATGATAGCCTCATTTTTTTCCTTCAGAAGTCAACAAAATGCACTTGTGGATAATTTAAACATCTCATTATATATACAGCTGTACTGTGGCCCCCATAATCTACCCAACAATCCATCCATCCATC